CGACGGGCTGGAGTGGAGGGTTTTTATAGGGTCTGGCAGCAGGAGCACGAGGAGCATGGTTTACAGGGTTCTGATTGGACGATTCAAATGAGGCCAGGTTCAAACTCAGGACAGCTCGTGGTTTTTCCCCGAGCTTGACACGCCTGCTGTCTGGCTCCAAGTTGTTTTTCTGACTTTAGTACCCTTTTCTGGGGCCAGGTGGCCGGCCGTAGACACCCCGTGCTTTTCAGACCTTACTCGAAATGGCGTTAGGCTAAGCTAGTATGCTGGGGTCTTTCAGCAAGAGAGAATAATTTCAAATGTGTTTAAAATAATACATATCCCCTTAATGAATTAGAGGCAGAAGATATATTTCAGATTTCCAACACTAAATTATTATACAAATAATATTGAATTTAACACCAAAATGATAAAGAATACTTCATTGTTTTTTTAAAAAAATGAAGCTGGACACACACATATCCACTATCACAAGTACAATTAAATATTTGTATATACCCTCCAGCCTTTTCCTATGGTCAGTGGAAACTTGTTATTTGCTTTTTCTTTCATATGTGTATGTTTATGGTCTATGTGTGTATAATGTTCACATGTGCAGACTTCTGTGTGTTTGTGTGTACGTGTGTGCAGATATACATGGGTGTGGTGGGCATGCATGTGGAGGTCAAAGATTGATGTTAGGCATTTTCCTTGAACATTAATTACAACCTTGTACATGGAGGCATTATCTCTCACAGAGCCTTGTGCTGACCAGTTTAGCTAGTCCAGCTAGCCACCAGGTTCCCAGAATCTCCTGTCTCTCTCGCACAAGTCCTGGGATTGCAGGTGGACCACCATGCCTGCTAGGCATGTGTATGCTTGCTGTGGACCTTAACACTGGTCCTCACACTTGCACAGCACGTGCTTTATCCACTGCCTTTATCCACTATCTCCCCAGCTTTGTATTTCCTTCTAAATTTATTACTAGGCATCTAACGTAAGGTGACTGCTCTGACTAATTAAGGAGAGATGTTGAAAGTTAATTTCAAAAGCCCTTCCTAGAGGGCTTATTTTATACAAAATCCACACAGCTCTGTGTGTGTGTGTGTGTGTGTGTGTGTGTGTGTGTGTGTGTGTGTGTAGTGATGGCTGTTCCTGCTGATTTGCATTTATGAGCAGTATCATGATTAAAATGCCTATACATTTTAACCCTTGTAGCAATCTTCATGCTGCTCTCTATGGCTATTGGACCTACAAAGGAGTGCTTTATCATAAGTAAGTGGTCATCCTCATTTGCAAAGGATACACTGGCATGAAAGCCTGAGACTCCAAGAGTATAACTGCAAAGTAAGAGTTCTCAGCTGCTGGGAGCTCTGGAAGAACCAGACACTGCCAGGGATCACATCAGTCCTTGCATCATGCTCCAGTCACCAACACTGATGTCCCATTCCCTGGAAGCCCTTCCCTACCACGGAACCTGGACCAGATCACTCCAGTTCAGCACAGCGAAGAAGAACTAGAGTTATAATTTCTTACTCCCAAGTGTTTCTCTAGACTTTATGGAAAATTTCAAATACACACACACATGCACACACACACACACACACACACACACACACACACACACACATACACAGACAGCTCCTATAGCAAATGGCATCGTCATCTTTTCATATAAAAAAGTTCTTATTTCAACATGCTCTGGGGTAGCTTATGCCAGAATGGTTTAAAATTTCATGAATAAATAACATCATTCAAGTTATCGTACAAAAACAAGCCCTGTGATGATTAACAACGCTCTTCACACAGAAACAATGTTTATATATCCCTTCAACTTGGCCTCCTCAAGGACTACTTCTTAAAAATATAACTAATTATATTTAATATATTTTTCAGCCTGGTCTCAATTAACATTAGGTTATAAACATTTTAAATTAATTTACACAATAGAATATAGTAAACCTAAGTGGGATTGAAAATGAGGATAAGAACATACAGGTAGACCTCAATGATGATTGTGGGGATATTGAACGCTCATATTTCACCAAGTTTTCTTGATAATGGAAAAAAATACATTCCACCTCGGCCTCATGAGGGTATCCCTGATTTTCCTGAAAGTAGTTGCCTTGCTGAGCACTGCAGATTTTCTTCAAGAGAATCCAGTTTCACGATCCCTTCTTCTTCTGACCTATAATTAGACTTTGTTCCCCATGGTACTTCAAGGTCTTTAAGTAGACTGAAGTCCCAGCAGACCTCAGTGTATACAATAGAAAATAAAAACTACAAAGAGAAGATCATCATGATCTTTCCAATATTTATGTTGAAACTTGGAGAGTGGGTTGAGGGATGAATTTTAAGAATGTAGCGAATGGTAGAAGGAATATAAAGCTTAAAGCTACATTTTTACATGACCTCATTAATATTCATGTCCTTCAAATTTTTCTGGTAATATATTTGATTTGTTGACTGAATCAGTACTCAAATGAGGCTTTTACCCAATTTGTTTGGAAGGTTAGGATTATCTTGACCCTACAAAGGGTCTGAAGAATATCGGAGGTGGTAAAATTAGAATGAATTTATCACCACATGAGGCCTGTTCATCCAATCAGGACAATCTAGACAACATAGCTTCTATACCAACATCAAAGACTGAATTTGTAATGTTTACTTTTAAAATATAAAGAACATCCTAACACCAGTAGGTGATATGTGTTTATATTCTCTGTCGATCTGAAATTACGGTGGCAACTACTAATGTTAACAGGGAGAGTGGATCAAGTGCTATCAGGAGTGTTGACATTTGCTCATTAAGAACCAGATGTATATAGCTACTGTAGTGAACAACAGAGCTAAATGAATATTGAAATAATCTAAATTTGAAAGACCTATAGCCTCAGCAATTAACTGTGTTGTTCTAGAGAAGAAGCCATTTATTAAACTCTTATTGGTGTGCCTAAGTGGAAATAGTCTAGGTCTAGTAAACAGAAATCTGATTTTGATCTCAAAACATAGAGGCAAAACACCTCAGCCAGGGTCCAGATGGGGAAATTAAAGTTTTTGAGCCTAATTGATGAAGGGAAAGGTTGCCTGAGTTCCTTTGAGAAAGAACCACATTATATCACCAAAATTTCATAGAGTGGATCTTCCTCTTGCATTTCGTGTGTCTATTAACTTGCAAATTATTCTTCTTTTCCTATGGATGTTAATAAAAAAACATATGGAAACAGGTTTCTTTTCAACTAAAAAGCTCAACAATGCACTTTCACTGTACTGTACATTAAGACA